TAATTTAAACCGTTTCAAACGCGTACAATCATTTGATCACGTTAACCCGGCATCCTACAACGTTAAATCTTATACAGGTGTCTTTTTGTTAATGTCTTCTTTATCTTAGCCAATGCTTGTGTTTTTATCAATTCTGTATGCAAATTTATTGGCTGATATTCATCTGGGATAATGAAAGAACAGCCATCCAATGTATCTATGGAGGTTAGGCACAGTATGTTTGATTTCTCGTCTGCCGATCCTCTTATCGTAAACCCAAATTTTAGTGAGTCTATTTTCTTCTTTTTTATCATAAACGAATTGACGTTTTATAAGATAACTCTTTATTTTTCGAGATTTGATCAAACCAAATCACGTTGCTGTAAGAACAAAGTATTTATTTTGTCGGTTTATTACAGTATTTACATTATTTACAAACGTTCTCACCTGTAAGAACAAAGAAACGTCAATTAAAGTTTATTCTCCAATCCATCAATTCCCTCTTTCCACCGTCCTTGATCACTATTCTAATTTCTCTGATAATTCCTTTTCTCGTGTATTTCACCACGTGGTTTTTCTTCTTCTCGTACAGAACGCTCTCTATCTTACCCGCGTTCAAAAGCGCGGCAATTTCAATTTAAAGAAATTGTTGGAGAGCGAACAAAAAACCGACGAAATACCGGCGGCCGAGAATCGCTGATCCACACTTGATCTCGATGTCCGAGACCGAGGTCGCACAATCGAAAACATGTTTTCGATCTCTGGATCGACACTCGGCTTTTGTCAGAGCGACAATTCAGCATTCTCGACGGTTTTTATATATTTGTCACCTTTCTCTTTGGCAGCGCGGGCGTCCTTCTCCTTACTTGCAGGGTGGATCGAGGAGCTCGGGACAGGGGAAAGGAGGCCCCGCGCTTACCGTTGCGCGCCTTTTCCGGGCAGTGTTTGCGAGCTGAGCTCTCTCGTTTGGTCACGCGAGCAAACGACCTTTTCACATAAGCAAACATTTATTGTCTTTATGCCTGTAATTTATCTTAAAATATACTTGTGAGTGGAGTAAGTTTGAGTAAAGTGTTATCGGATCCTGCCCCGTTTTCCAAAACTCATCCCTCTTTGCCTCCAACCGTATTCAAACGAACAATCGAACGGCGAGACAAGAACATTACTGGTCCTTCGAGCCGGATTCGTGTGCGCGACTCCGACCACACGGTAAGCGATCTTATCTCTTTCTAAACTTGTATATTCTCAATATTGCTAGACATTAGACATTGCTGGACAATTTATTATTAACAATCATTATAGTCAGTGACATTTGCGACATTGACGTTTCGATCAGTGGAATAAGTGAAAGTGCGAGAGTGATCTCGCGATAGAGACAATAGTGCCGTTCCACGCCCCCGCGCGCGCTTCGCCTAGAGTTCGAGGGCCCGCTGCTCCGATTCTCCCGCCTAATGCCGTTCCGCGCTCCGCGCCCGTCTTGCCTATCGATTTGGACGATCCGTCGCTCCGCGCACGCTGCGTTTACGTGTTCGCGACCGCGATCAGCTGAGCGCACTTTCTCGGATTTTCACGTAAGATCGTCGCGCTTTGTTTTCACGCTCGTTTTTCCGTCTCGTATAAAGCTCCACGATGGAGGCCGCGCTGAAAAGACAAATGATCACAGCCGGCTTCATCGAGCGGTTTTGGGATAACCTTGTTAAAATCGGGAAAAATAAAATGACTCGATCGTTTCTCTCGGCGCGCCTTGAATTACTAGAAAGATACTGGTCGACGTTTTACGACGCTCATTACTCGCTCATGGATTTTGAAAAGGTGGACGCGTCCGACTATATGAAACGGGACATTTATTCGTCGACCGAGGAACTTTATGTTAATATGAAGGCTCGTATCAACTCCCGCTCGTACATCCCACCGGCCAAAACCACGGAGTCAAAAGATGACTTGAGTGCGGTTATGAGGCAAATCCAATTGCCGAAAATAAATCTGCCGACCTTTAGCGGCGATCAGTTGGAATGGGAGGGTTTTCGCGACCTTTTCAAATCGCTAGTTCACGACGTGAACGGGCTCGGCGCGGTGCAGAAACTCCAGTATCTGAAGGCAAGCCTCACCGTGGAGGCCGCGGCCGTCGTGGCGAATATCGAGGTTTTCTCGGAAGGATACTCGTCGGCGTGAGAAGAATTGGAGTCGAGATACGACAACCGACGGGTGCTACTCGCGACGCACATGCGTGTCCTCCTCTCGGCTACGCTAGTGACGAAACCATCTGCGACAGAGATAAACCGCCTGATTAGGCATTGCGATGCCTGCCGTGAATCAGGCATCGCGCTCCTTCCGGGCAATGGGTCGCCCGGTAGAGCATTGGGACGACTGGTTCGTCCACATCCTAGTGGAGAAGCTGGATTCCGCTAGCCGCCTCCAGTGGGAGTCTTCGCGCAAGCAGTGACTTTCCGACGTTTGAGGAGCTCGAGGAGTTTCTTCTTACGCGGTCGCGCGCGTTGGACGCCGCCGCGCCGCGAACTTTGACACAGACGACTTCGGGTAAATCGAGGCGGACTGAGCGACGGGATGACGTCTCGTCACATGCAACCTCCATGAACAACGACGAAAAGGGATCGCCGTGTCCGCTGTGCAAGGAACAGCACCCTTTGCGAGCGTGCCCGCGCTTTAAGGGATGCTCGGTAGAACAGCGCCGAGAACAAGTGCGTAAGCGGAAGGCATGCTTTAACTGCCTGGGACAGGGTCACACAACAGGAGCATGTCCATCCTTATTCCGCTGCCGCCAATGCAACGAGAGGCATCACACGCTTCTTCATCTAACGGGGAACAATACGACGTCACCAGCGGAGACTCCTCGAGCTGCGGCAGAATCCACTGCACACTCGGAGAGGCCTTCGTTCTCGGAGGAGACTGGACAGGTAGCAGCGCTGTCCAGCTCCACCTCCGGTACAGTTCTCCTCGCGACGGCGCTTGTTCGTCTCATCGGAGAGTCGGGGAGAGCTCTAACAGTGCGAGCGCTACTGGACTCAGGCTTAGAGGCGTCTTTCGTCTCAGAGCGCGTGGCTCAGCAGCTGAGACTGCCGAGGCGTCGAGTCAATGTCACGGTCTCAGGCCTGCAAGGCGTCACCACCGGCATGGCGACTCATGCGGTGACCTTGATGGTTGGAGCTGACCGATCGCCATCTCTGCGGATAACAATCCCGAGGGCATTGGTGCTGTCCAGACTCACCGCGTTGACACCGGGAGGTCGAGTTGCGAGGCATGATTGGCCTCATCTTGAGGGTCTGAAGTTGGCGGACCCTGCGTTCGATAGGCCTGCAGCGGTCGACGCCGTGCTGGGAGCTGACGTATACGGCATGCTACTCAACGGTGACGTGAAGCGCGGCCCCCCAGGACAACCGACCGCTCACTCGACCGTCTTCGGGTGGGTGCTGATGGGCCCGCTCACCAGGGCAGCAGACTCGAACAGCATCGCCGCCCATCACAGTATACTACAGCCGGACCTGCAAGAGGACCTTCGCCGATTTTGGGAACTGGAGGGGGTATCCGCGGAGCCGATCCAAACTCCTGAGGAATCGTACTGCGAGCGACTCTTCGCAGAGACACACTTACGCGACGAGGGCGGCCGTTACGTAGTGCGACTTCCTCGAAGAGAGAACCCGCCGACGGGACTTGGAGCCTCTCGTCGGGGGGTCCAACAGATGCTGCTCAGCACGGAGCGTCGGCTCGAGCGGATGCCGGCGCTCAAGTCAAAATACACAGAGTTTATGTGTTCTTATTTGTCGCTAGGACACATGGAGCTGGTGCCCAGCGGGGAGAAGGAAGCCTGTAGCTCTTACTACATGCTGCATCACACCGTAGTAAAGCCGACAGATCCTGACGGGAAGATCAGGGTGGTCTTCAACGCCTCGTTCCGGACAACTACAGGCGTTTCTTTGAACGACGTGCTACTCTCAGGTCCAAAATTGCAGGCAGACCTCTGGCTCGTACTCACCCGTTGGCGCATGCATCAGTACGCGTTCACGACGGACATCGTGAAGATGTTCCGTCAGATTCGCGTCTACCGGGACGACACGGATTTACAGCGAATCCTATGGCGGGCGGACCTCGCTGCTGAGATACAGGAGTTTCGCCTCACCACCGTTACCTACGGTACGGCGTCCGCGCCGTATTTCGCAATTCGCACATTATTACAGCTGGCGAGGGATGAGGAATCCCGCTTCTCTCAAGGGGCGAAAGCTATCAGATCCAACACCTATGTAGACGACATACTTGCGGGAGCGAGCTCCCTGGAGGACGCCCTCGAGGTCAAGCATCAGGTGGTGAGTCTTCTCAGGGTGAGCGGCTTCGAGTTAAGCAAATGGGCCGGATCACACGCCGCTCTATGCCCCGAGGGGGACAAGGCTGAGCGGCTCTTTCTAAAGACGGACACCGTCGGCACTTTCGGTGTGTACTGGGCTCCAACCACCGATCGGCTCACACTGAGAGCAATTCCGACGCTGCAGTCGATCGGTAACAGACCAAACGGACCGTGCTCTCGGATATCGCAAGACTATTCAACCCGGCGTGTTGGGCTGCTCCTGTTCTTATTGGAGCTAAGGTCTTCTTGCAAGAACTCTGGATGGCCGGCCTGGATTGGGATCAACCGCTCCCGCCGACGCTGCGAAATCACTACCTGCGACTAGCGTCTGCCCTGCCGGAGTTGGACCGGTTGAGTGTTCCCCGGTGGACGGGAGTCACGGAGGCGGACGGCCGTACGAACCTACAACTGCACGGGTTCTCCGATGCGTCGGAGAGAGCTTACGCGGCCGCAATTTATTTAAGGGGCACTGGATCAAATGGCGCTCATACAACGAGCTTACTCGTCGTCAAGCGAAAGTCGCACCGGTGAAGCCGGTGTCAATTCCACGACTGGAGCTGTGTGAAGCCCTGCTCACCGCGCGACTACTCCAACGGACTGCCGCGGGACTTGGACTCACAAGCGAGAAAGTTTATGCCTGGACCGATGCCAGAGTGGTTCTTGCATGGTTGTGAGCACATCCCTCCCGTTGGAAGCCGTTCGTCGCCAACCGGGTGCCGCCGTCCAGGAGATCGTGTCGGCCGATCGCTGGCATCACGTTCCAACAGCGGAGAATCCAGCGGATGCTGCCACCAGAGGCATCACGCCCTGTGAACTCTCCAGTCTTCAGCTTTGGTGGAGGGGCCCCCCATGGCTGACAGGTCCGACCGAGTCCTGGCCGAAGGAGGCGCATGAAGACGTTGACAGCTGCGAGGAGCGCCGCTCGCACGCAGCCACGGTGGGCCACGGCACGAACGAAGAAAACGAACTTCTTACAAGATTCTCCTCTCTCTCTAAACTAATACGCGTTAGCGCGTTCTGTTTTAGGGTCCTCAGACGAGAGGCGCAGACAAGAACGACTCACCTCTCAGCCCAGGAACTGAACGACTGCCGATTACGATGGTTACGGATCGTGCAACGGCAGGACTTTGCGGGCGAGCTCAAGGCCCTCACGCGCGAGGCTCCTTTATCGAGGAAGTCTCCGTTGCGGGCACTGCGGCCATTCCTCGGACCGGATGGGTTGATCCGAGTAGGCGGACGACTGGAGAACGCGTCACTGAACTACGAAGAGAAGCACCCAATCGTCCTAACGAAAAGGAGTCATCTCTCGCTGTTACTGGTGTGTGACGCGCACCATTGTACGCTGCATGGGGGACCTCAGCTGACACGGAGCGTCTTGGCCCGGCGGTACTGGGTCATCCACGCCAATACGCTCATACGCGCCGTGATCCACTGCTGCGTGCGGTGTGCGCGCTTCCGCACCACCGCGGCCCAGCAACAGATGGGACAGCTGCCGGCCGATCGGGTGCGGACCATGCGCCCGTTCTTGTCCGCAGGAGTGGACTATGCTATGCCAATCCAGCTACGCGCCTCGAAAGGGCGAGGGCACAAGTCCTACAAGGGCTACATATGCCTATTTGTTTGTATGGCCACTAGCACCTAGAAGCTGTATCCGACCTCTCATCTGCGTCGTTCTTAGAAGCTTTCAGACGATTCGTATCAAGACAAGGTCGCTGCGCGCACCTGACAAGCGACAACGGGATGAATTTCCGGGGCGCGGACCGAGAGCTTCGCGAGATGTTCGGCGCCGCCTCGGACTTCTATAAATATTGCAAGGAATTGCTGGCTTCCGACGGCACCGAGTGGGACTTCATCCCACCTTCGGCCCCGCACTTCGGCGGGCTTTGGGAGGCCGGGGTCAAGTCCACCAAGCATCATCTCCGACGCGTCCTCGGGGAGCAGACCCCAACTTACGAGGAGCTTTCCACGCTCCTCTGCCAAATTGAGGCTTGCCTCAACTCGAGGCCGCTCAGTCCGCTGAGCGCGGATCCTACGGACTTTGTGGCTCTTACGCCCGGTCACTTCCTCATCGGCGAGGCTCCGGTCAATGTACCGGAGCCCTTCACGCTAAGGAACCCCCCCGGACAAACCCGTGTTAGATCTCGACTGATCTCTAATTTGCGTGATCATTTTTGGCGTAGGTAGTCGCAGGAGTACTTGCAGCACCTCCAACAGCTGATCAAGTAGAGAACGCATGGCCAACATCCAACCTGGCGCCCTCTTGCTGCTGCGAGACGACCTCCTGCCGCCTGCTAAATGGTCGCATGGACGGGTGCGAACAGTACATCCGGAAGACGACGGACTAGTCCGCGTCGTGACCGTCGACACGGCTACCGCTACGTTGAAGCGGTCGATCGCGAAGATCTGTCCGCTACCAGGGTCATCGGACCCTTAGAATCAACCGAGCAAAGGACGCAAGGCGGGCGACAGCCCTACATCTCCACCCTGTTTTGTCGCTAAGACGAGGCGGGCGGTATGTTGGAGAGCGAACGTAAAACCGACGAAATACCGGCGGCCGAGAATCGCTGATCCACACTCGATCTCGATGTCCCAGACCGAGGTCGCACGATCGAAAACATGTTACCAACGTCGATACAAAAATTGTGTCGATTATTTCACTGTGGACAACTATGATTTTGGCTACATGGACATGCCTTCACCATCGGTGTCATGCAAAACACAATCATCCGAAAATGATTCTGACCAAGAAATGGAGGAGGAGTCAGATAGGAGAGAACCGTCATCATCATCATCATCATCATCATCATCGCCAGATTTCTTGTCGGCAGCCTATTTATCTTTTCTGTGATAAAATAGGTGTACAACATATGTGATATCAGCGTGTTCTGAGAGAGAGAGTAGATATGTCTTCGCGGAAGGTGTAAACATGTCGATAGACAACTACTGAGCAGCCGCTATTTTTGTTTCGTCGGAGATCATCTTTCGGAGATAATTGCATCATTGCATGAACAAAGGGATGACCGGGATATATAATAAGGACCGATGTCACTGCCAGGTCATAGTACGGTGACATTTCGGCGTAATAAGTGTCTCGAGAATAAATTGTTTTTGTAATAAAAAATGGAGAAAGACAAAGAAGTAGTGATCTCCGACGATGAAGAGATGGAGGTGGTCGTCGTCCCGGATGACGAGATGGAGGTCATAACCATCTCCGACGACGACAGCGACAGTGATAGTGCGATGTACGACCCTGTGTACGACAGGGAGGTGAACAACGTCCTGGATGACATTGAGGAGATGGACGTTGATATCGTACCCATTGATGAAGACGGCGATGACGATGACGATGACGATGACGATGACGATGACGATGACGATGACGATGAAGATGAAGATGAAGATGACGATGACGATAGGTACGATAGTGACAACGCTGTTCGGGAGTCGTGCAGCTCCCGCATGTATGGCATACGCGCCACTGCATCCCTCGACGAGACAGCGAGGGTATGCACTGTGGCGTCGTATGTCATGGCATTCGTCGCACCATGGGGGCCGATCAGGATCTGCTTTCGCTGTTTCGTGAGAAACAGGAGCAGATTCCTGAGCATCACAACCATCGAGGGACACACTACATCGCGGTACACAGCTGTACCCGAACTGCGTTGCGAAGATTGCCGGGAAAGACTATACGTGTTCTACCTGGCCAACGCTTGTCCCACATGTCAAGGACGTGAGTATATATATATATATATATATATATATATATGTCAAAAAAATATATATAAAATATTAAATTATTATATTTCTATGCACAGATGTCGAGTCTGATGACAGCGATGGGTGATGCGACCCCTTCTCTCACTGTCGTACATCGCACTATCACTGTCGCTGTCGTCGTCGGAGATGGTTATGACCTCCATCTCGTCATCCGGGACGACGACCACCTCCATCTCTTCATCGTCGGAGATCACTACTTCTTTGTTTTTTTCATTTTTTATTACAAAAACAATTTATTCTCGAGTCACTTATTACGCCGTCAGGGCTGTAAGTATATTAAAATACCAAAAAAAATCTATAAAATATTAAATTATTATTATTATATTTCTATGTGTAGATGCCACTACCTCGAGCCGTCACATCTCTCTCTCTCTCGCCGGCTCTCTCCGCTCACTCGCCGTCACCGTATTTATTTTATATTTTATATTTTATATTTTTATATTTTTTATATTTTTATATTTTTATATTTTTATATTTTTTATATATATTTTATTTTTTATATTTTTATATTTTTATATTTTTTTATTTTACTTATATTACTTTTTATTTTTTATTTACACACACAGTAGAGAGGGTTTGGAGTCGTTAAATACCGCGGAAGTGACGAACCGCGGGGTCCTCATCTCTACTGCAACACATGTACAAGTACACACACGCATACACACATGCACATACTCTGACATATGAGGTGTAAATCCGACCGGCAACCTCCACGCGGTACACCTCGGGTAATGCCAATGCCGGCGGTAATATATTAAATAAGAATAAAAAAAAATATTAATAATATAATAAAATTTTATTAATTTAAAAAATGTTTCCCTTCTTCTTTCCTTATAGAAAAAATATGTAAAAACTAATGTAAAAAATATGAATAAAAAGTAATAAATAAAATATGTATTTTATTAAAATAAAAAAAATGTTTTTCTCCTCTCCTTCACATCTCTCGCCGCCCGAGCCGCCACATCTCTCGCCGCCCGAGCCACCGACTCTCTCGCCTCTCGCGCTCTCGCCACAAAATCCAGGCTTGGCTCTCGCTCTCGCCGCGAGCCGCACGTGCTCTCTCTCTCTCGCTCCGACGGGAGAGCGCGTATACCGCCGCGCGCTACCTCTCTCTCTCGCAGCATTTCTCGCCGCCCGAGCCGCCGAATCTCTCTCGCTGCCGCATCTCTCTCGAATGCGTGCGTCTTCTTTCTCTCTCTCTCACTCTGGAAGGCGTGCGCCTCGTAAGATAAAATTATCGATTTTTTTCTCGCTGAATGCAATGTCCTTGACACAATAATTATATCTCGCAAAGTATGTAACGGGTGGCGCGCAAATAAAGTACACCATGATATATACATATAAGTATTTATTCGTCTTATATTTAATACATAATTATATATAAAGTTTTATTACATATTAAAAACTAAAGCCACCAGCTCGCAATCGACAAGTTGGTGCATGTTGAAGGCATTGCTAGCGCGTATCGCATTCGACAATTCTCTCGCATTCGTTACAATGGATGCAATATTGGAGAATTGAGTATATTTGATATCAACCGTTGCGACGAGCCTCGTCAATCGATCGTACATTATTTCGATACATGAATCGAGCTCGAACATACGATGTAACGTCGATTCGACCATCATCATGCGCACGTCCGCTGATTCGAGACTTATGAGCTTGGTGCCGTTTATCTTGTGAAATCGCACTGTTAGCGGCCCGACACTTATGCAATTATACACATCGTTGTTGGAGGAGGAGTCATTGTTCAGGTAATTGTGAATAGCGTGGCGTTGCTCGTAAAGTCCTTTCCACGTTTCGAGAGATAGTAATAGCTGTTTTCCCCGATGATCTTCTATGGCGATCTCCACATAACTCGGCGGATCCACTCTGATGCCGATTTCGAGGAATTTGAATTCCGTTGCCGTCAATGCGTATCGTCTTCCAAGTATGCGAACCGCACGAGGCTCCAGCGAAACGCTGTAAAATTAGATAAAAAAGATAAAATATAAAAAAATATAAAATATATAAAAGATACAAAAAGTTATACTTACTCGTCGCATTTCTTCTCGCACATTTCTTCATGTCTCGGCATGTAGTAATTCATCCTGCTGCTGCTTCTTTGAACCGAGGGTATTAAAAAGTGAACCGTCAGTTAGAACGGTCGACGAAAGACTGATTGTATAATAAGGTACTAATAATCGAGTAACGGTCATTTTTAAAATATTAGGAGAAGGGGATTCTTAGAAATATATCTGAAGGGAAAGAACAAAGAGAAATATTTAAAATATTAGGAGAAGGGATTCTTAGAAATATATCTGGAGGGAAAGAACAAATTATTAAATGTAGTGGGGGTAAAAGAAATTCTTAGAAATATATCTGGAGAGAAAGACAAATTATTAAAAGTAGTGGGGGTAAAAGAAATTCTTAGAAATACGATTGCGTGAGAAATTTTTAAAAGTAGTGGGGGTAAAAGGAATTCTTAGAAATATCTGGTTAGGAAAAATAACAAAGAGAATAGTATGTAAATAATATGTTTATTCAAAAAAACGGATGATCGTCGCGATTAGCCGACCACCAATTGAATAATTTAAATACATTTTGTAACGCGCAATTTTTTACATGTTTATTACATCGTAGAGTATATGTGGGATCTAATTTATTTAATGCAGGCACATCTTCATATATGGCATCCAAGGTCTCAATCATGAAACCGCTGCACACATCGTCCACTATTTCGGCAAGCCACTCTCGCTTTTCGAGTCCTTTTACATACACGAGAGAGGACTCTTCATCCTCGTCTTGTTCATTTATGCCATTGATAGCTGCCGTGATCAAGCGCTGAGCCATGCAGTATGGAACATTTCCTCCCATTGCAAGCTG